CTTGAGATTGACATTTTTATATTGTTTATCCATTATGGACGAAGGAATACTTTCTATTTCTTCTAAATACAATTGTAATTCTTCGCTTCGTCTCGCTATTTTCAAATTGTTCATCATTTTTCTTCGGTACAAGATATAAAACGTCACTACTATGTCATAAATATTGATTTTTCTTTTGTTCAAACAAAACACAACGGAAGATGCTAACAGAAACCGACAATTTGAAACATTTTTAGGACAGAAAATTAGGCCTTGGAAAAGTTACAATATAGGCCAGCACCATTAAAAAAATCTTTCTATATACAAGACAGGAATTTTAAAATTACGGTATAATGCAATTAATGTAAAAGTACGACATTAATATGCGGCAATGTAACAAGAGACAAATAAGGGATTCTTGCTATAAAAATAAATTTACTAATATGTTTTATTCTTATTGTATTATTATCTTGTATTAATTTTAATGACGACCCACCGGGAAAGCCCAATATCCCAGTGAGACAGTCCAACCCTGAATATTTTCTATTCTTGGTTTCCTTCGGGATTTTGGTGATCGGAAACTTCTGAACAGGAAGTAATATAAATTTTCCGTTTCTGTTTTACCGTTTCTGGATTATTTTTCAGTAATGTGAAAACCATATTTTAATTAATCTGTCTTTACTTTTCTACTAAAATTGTCTGCAATCTATAGTAAAGGTAATTTTTCCCGACAGCGGTTTTTCTGCAGCAAAAATCACTGTAGTCTCCATTTTGTAAAACAATTTGCCAATACCTAACGATACGCCGGATTTATTATCGGGCTATATAGGAAAAGTATAACATAGAGTAAGTATAGTATAGATCGGTCAAAGTTGAACACTTCTTTTCTTTATTTCTTGATGTTTTGACTCTTCGGGAGCTCAATAATACAATATAAAAAACCCACTCTTATAAAATTCTGGGTATGGGGGTGTGTGTGTGTGTCGGTATCTTTTTGCATTATATCTTGGGAATAGATTAACCAAAAATTTTGAAACTTGGCAGAGTTATTTCTATTATATATGGGAAATTGATTCTATTAAATTTTGATAGTTAAAGGTCAAGTAGATGGAGCGATAGACGGGGTAGGGATCGTATCTCGAGTGGGGTCAACTTAATAAAAGTTTTAACGTTATTAGCATTTACAAGTTCTTTACAAACTCACTTCTACCACAAAAATAAACCGTTTGCCTTTTTATAATAATCAATAATATAAAAAACATTTTTAATAAAATCTTGTAACAGATGGCGTTACACATCTTTAATTTCGTAAATTATGGGTGCCGGCGTCATTATTGGTGTCGGGCGGACACCACTCATGAGTGTTAATGTGTTCACCCTGGAAAATTGTTTGGCTATTATATATAAATAATATTGAAGATTTATATTTAATGTAATTAGATATAATTTCAATTAATTACAATTTTTAACTCTCATTAGTGACATAAAGATACTGTATTTATCTTTACCAGATAATCGCTTTAAAAATTGAGGATAAACTTTATTTAGAATATCATAAGTTTAAAGCACTTTGTAAAAACCTCTATTTTACTTAATTGTTATACAGTATTATTTATTTCATAGCCATTTATTAGTTTCAATTTGTCTCTTTTATTGTTTTTTTATTACTATATTGTTGTACGGGGAAGGTAAACTTTGTTCAAGATACATCGCCTGTAATATTTGAGATAAATAAATAAATATGTTAAAAACTATTTTTAAAAATCTATAAAGGTATACCTCGCCTTACGTCAGTAATTGGTTCCAGGAGAGGCGACGTAAGTCGAATTTACTTGTCTCCGAATCTACTTGTCACTAGGCTAAACCATAAATTACCATTCCCGGTTCTGTATTTTATTTATTAATGCATTTTTAATAGTTTATGGTTAATAAGGATTTATTTTAAGCTTACGAACAAATAAATTTTAGTTTTTAATATAGTACAGAAAAAAGTAATTTAAATTTACGAATGCATGTACTTTAAATACAGTACATACTTGTAAATGTATATATTTTAATATGATTTTATGTGCTTTAAACGCTTTTCTAGTGATATTACGACTTCAATATTTGTGGCGGACAGAC